GACTTAGCACTGTGTCTGCCATATAACAGATAACATTTACCAACGGTTATGAAAGCCAGTCGTGCTTAAGATCTACCCTGCAATTAGCACCTTCTCATGCATTTCATTCTTTAATTTGTCTCGATAATGCATGCCCCAGATGCAGAATGCAAGTTCCCCAGCCTACACCGGAGTACCCGGCAACAGCACTAGCTGTCGCTAATGAAGACATCCAGGTTTAGATATTCCGTGAGAAACAACGTGGAGACTGAGAATACTGTCAGTGCTACGCCTGTCACAGCCCGGCCTCACTTGGGAAAGGAGGCTTGTCTTCCTTCCAATGAGCAGGGCAATGAAAAAGCAATAACAGGATAGGCACTCGGTGCATTTACTTGCTTTTTTAAATTAAGCTTCTAAGACAACCTGTACATATCCCATAAAATCATGTTGTATATCTTAAATATACATAATAAAATTTAGTTTGGAAAAAAAACCCCTCAGATCATAAGAAGTGGTTTAAAAGTATCAAATGGTGGCTACCAAGATGCAGGGGGCAGGCAGACTCTGAATCTCCACCTAGAAAGGCTTTAATATGAAAGCTATTTCCAACTTAATGCCCCTAGGGGGGATGGCCACCTGCAATCCCTTTTCCTCCAGTCTCCTCTTGGGATTTTGGGCATACATGCATATGTGCCCAGTGTGAGTTCCAAGTCACTTGGTCCAGGACTCAAACCACAGATGGCCATGTGGGAGTCCAGCAACATAACCATACACTATCTGCTGGTTCCAATGGCTCAAGTTTTAAAACCTGTCTCATCCATAAAAACTTCGCTGGTCTTTTGCAATGCATGCTTTGCCTTCTGGGAAGTGAATATCATGTGTCATGGTTAAAAGGGCTCCAACTCTCAGCACTTTCACACCTGTGTAACCAAGGCGGTTATTTCAATCTCTCAGTGCCTCAGTTTGACTGTGAAAAAGGGGATAGTGCTGATTTCCAAGGAAATAACATGCACCAATCAGTAAAGGACTTAGCACTGTGTCTGCCATATAACAGATAACATTTACCAACGGTTATGAAAGCCAGTCGTGCTTAAGATCTACCCTGCAATTAGCACCTTCTCATGCATTTCATTCTTTAATTTGTCTCGATAATGCATGCCCCAGATGCAGAATGCAAGTTCCCCAGCCTACACCGGAGTACCCGGCAACAGCACTAGCTGTCGCTAATGAAGACATCCAGGTTTAGATATTCCGTGAGAAACAACGTGGAGACTGAGAATACTGTCAGTGCTACGCCTGTCACAGCCCGGCCTCACTTGGGAAAGGAGGCTTGTCTTCCTTCCAATGAGCAGGGCAATGAAAAAGCAATAACAGGATAGGCACTCGGTGCATTTACTTGCTTTTTTAAATTAAGCTTCTAAGACAACCTGTACATATCCCATAAAATCATGTTGTATATCTTAAATATACATAATAAAATTTAGTTTGGAAAAAAAACCCCTCAGATCATAAGAAGTGGTTTAAAAGTATCAAATGGTGGCTACCAAGATGCAGGGGGCAGGCAGACTCTGAATCTCCACCTAGAAAGGCTTTAATATGAAAGCTATTTCCAACTTAATGCCTTTAAAATGAATACACACCAGGATTTTGTTCTCACATCCTACATCCATTAGAGGAACACTATAGACCCTGAGAACTCCCTATCTATCTTACAACTGTTTAATGGATGTTTTATCCAGAGTAATAAGGAAATGATGACTATGCGATTCAGAAAGGCTCCATCTGAAATTTCACTTTAGACTAGCTGATGCCAAAAGTTTAAGCTAAAAAAGAAAATTGCTAATTCCCCAAAACATAGCTAGTTAGCATAAATTCAGGCAAGGGCTACAGGACTCTGGTAACATGCCAGCTTCATACTACTAAAACCTACAGGCCGCATCACTGTCCATCTACTGGGTCGCTGGAAAAGTCACAAGGTATTTTTCTAGGCAGAAACGCGTTATGATTTTTCCGACAACCCAGTACATAAAACAGATTGGCTCATAGGAGACATGAGTATTCCTGAACTTAATTTAACAAAGCATATTTATTACCAAGGTATAAACAAAAAGTTACACTTTAAAAATAAATTCTTGAGGCTGGATGGTGGCACAGCAATAAAAACACAACACTCTGTGAGACTGACCACAATGGGAAAGTTCCAGATTTGCGCCTGGAGACATCCCTGAATACACTGGGCATGAACCCAGGGTGCCCACGATCTGGGGCTGACTGAGGCTGACGGTGGGTGGATGCATCAAGGAGGGGGTGTCTTTCTCTGTCTTTCTCACTCAGGGAAGAAATAAATAAGCTTTTACAAAAGAGAAATAGCTAATGGATATGAACGCTTCTGAACATTATTCACATTACTACACCTTCTCTCAAAAGTACAAAAATTAGACAAAGATGAATTACTTTCTAAGGCTCAGAGCAGCCTCAGTACATGCATGTACAACTTCCCTTTGTGAGTAATAACACGTGTTTGCAGGGTTATCAGCCCTTTTCTTTCCCTTCTTTTTTTTTTCCAAACTTAGCTAGACTCTGACAGACTCAGATATAACAAAACCAACACACCAGGGAAGGGCTGCCTGTGCTCCCTGAGGGCCGCTGATGCGGCCAAGGGCTGATGAGAGAGAGCGTGGCCTTTCGTCAGCTGGTACTCGGTCAGCTTCCCACAGCAAACACAGTACAGCACAAAAGGAAGGGAAGTCTGTGGTGAGAGGCATACATAGGTCATTAATCCAGCAGCAACACGGACGCCTTAGAAAACTTAGAAGGGCTATCTCTACAGTGCATTTCTTTTTTCCTTAAGAGAGGGTCTCACTATGTCATGATCTTCCTGCCCCCTCCTCCAAAGTAGCTGGGACTACAGGGTGTGCCACCCTGCCCAGCTCTTTCACGTGGGGTCTCACTATGTTGCCCACATTGTCCACAAACTCATGAACCTTCTGCCTCAGCCTCCTCCTGGGCCACCAGTGCAGATGTACATCAAAGCTTGGCCTACAGCTCAATGTTAACTAGAGAGGTTACCCACTTTCTCATATTGTTCCAAAAGAGCAAAATGCATACCACCTAAATTTTAGTATTTCAGGATCACAGTCATTTTGGCATGCTGTATTTGAACAACAGGGGCCATAGGTAAATATCAGGTGTTTTAGATCAATTTCTTTAAAGTTTATTTGCAAGTCTCTTCCATAAACCAGAGATATAGAGGCAGAGAAACTGCACCCCCACCCCCAAGAGTCTCAATGTTGTGTTTATTTCACTCCCAGATTTAACCAGCTCTGGATCACGGGCATGCATGTGCCCAGACTTACTAAGGGAAGTTTCCAGATGTGAACCTAGAGCTTTCTCACATAGGTCAGCCTTACTGAGCATTGCATTTTGCTGCTACACCACCATCTGGGAAATAATACCTGAAGGGTCGACCTTTAGATAGACAGACAGATAGACAGATATACACTCACACACACACATACATATACAGACAGTACACAAAGAATGAATGTGATATTCTTCATATATAAAAATGCTACTGACACATCCTCAAAGGCCTGTAAACTTAGGGTTTTATTTTCTAGTAAAAGCACTAGAATATCATCACAGTCTTGTACAAAAATATGGATGTGAGTGACAACCAGCACAGATCCAAGGACAGAGTCTATGACTGATGCTTCAGAGACTATTTATGAGTCAAAAGCCACTCTCTTGTGACCTTAACTTTGGTTGTTTGGAAACCTCAACTGCATTTCAATGAAGCTTTTTAAAATTTTTGTTTTGTTTTATTTTACAAGTTTAATGCATGCATGAGAGAGGAGAGATTCCCTTGAGAGAGCCTTGCCACATCACATTCCCCTTTCCCCTACCCTCGTCAGGATCCTGGATACCCACATGTGTGCCTGGCCCATTTTCAAGTCAACCAGGGGATCTAAAACCATAGCCTAAACACACATGTGGCTTCCACCGGGCAGTCCAGTACTCTACAAACTGCTCCACTAGGCTGGACTACAAACTACATTTAATTAGCTACAGCCTCGATAAAAAGTTTTTAGATGTTTTTTGTCTATTAAAAAAAATGAAATTCATCTCCAAAAGGTAGATATTATTTATAGCTGAGGTTATCTGAGAGAGCTGATTTAAAAGATAAGGTTTTAAGGAAAGGAATTCCACTGGATAAAGATGATAATATTCCAAGGAGGCTACTCTGAAGAGGACAATAGTCACTGAAACGCAAAGATTCTGGTGCACTTCTTTTTAAAAGTGAGTCATGACATAAAGTCTGCTTCTGTAAAGACATGATAGTTACACAGCCTTGGTCTACTCATTTTATCACATATATACTAGCATGTTTTGTTACATGGTAATAGTATCCAAAACCTCAGATAATTTAAGTATTTCAAATCATCAAAATTAGATTTTTTTAAAGTTACTAATAGCAACTCTTTTTCAAACTTAAATATAGTTCTTTAATAATGACAAAATGTTTTGACTTAAAATACTTTACTTCAGTTTTCACCTCAAAATGCTTCACAAGCAAGGTGGTTGTTAGCCAAGATGGCAAAAGGAAAGATATAAGGATCCTAGGAAAACCTGATAACTGGTATAAATACTTAAAATCATTGTAATTAAATGAAATAATTCATATTTATACTCAATGAAAACATGCTCTCTTAGTCTCTTAGAGTAAAATTTTGTGGGAAAAAAATTAGAAAATCGAAGTGGTCAGCTCTAGAATTCTACATACTAAATAAGTATGCTTAATTCTTTCCAGGGAGCAATAATAGTGTTAATATTCATAACAAGAAGATAATGCTCATAAAAGCATCTTCATTGGATCTGGATAAACTTTTCTTGGTCTTGTGAATGAAGAGTTCTATAAAACATCATCTGTTAATGCATTTGAGAAACAGTCACATTTACAAAACACTTTGAAAACATAATACAAAAACGAGCCTCAGGAAATTATCTTTTAAATTGATTACCTATATTAATCGCGGTTTCTTGTTTGTCTCCTGTCAACACCCATATTTTAATTTCTGCCTTCAACAGAGTTGCTATGGTTTCTGGAACCCCTGCCTGAAGGCGATCTTCTATGGCCGTGGCTCCAAGCAACAGTAAATTCTAGATTAAAAAATATTTCCAATTAAAGATTGGTTAAGAGCACCATTAACAACAAAACTTTGACAAAAGAAAGACAATCAAAATGTTCTGAGAGGGTCATCTTATTTCCCCTACATTAAACTTATGCTTGCAGATGTTTAATGATATCTCTATGTGGGGCACTTCCCGAGCCCTAGCGGTGCTAGAACCTCACACATACACACACACACACACACACACACACAGAGGCAACCCAGTATCGGCATTTACATCTGGTGTGTGGACTTGTGAGAATAACAGTCACCTGGCAGCACAGCGCATGGGCAAGTCAGCCTGAGGATATTAACAGGGCATGACTCTTCTCTCACTCCTTCTGTAAGGAAAGCATTATGCTATATTTTACAAATGAGGAGTCTTCAAAAAGATAATGAAAAATAAGTATTGTGAAAAAGTATACACGATTTTAAGGTGTTTTTTGTTTGTTTACATCAAAACAAACTCATACTTTAATGCCATTTTCCACAAACTTTTTGAAGTCTCATCCTACAAGAACTGACTGATTCTAAATGATATGCTTACCTGGCTGAGTAGGAGTAAGAGACCTACGATGCTAAGAATTTAAAAACTAGAGAAGAAAACATCAAAGTATCTAATAAACACACACTATGAAATGTTGCCCCTCTCAGTCCTCTTCAAGGTCCAGGATGGGTTGGTTCACACTGAAGTCAGGTATAGACATGCAGTCTCCTGGTTGCCCATGCTCTGCCTGCTGGACTGGTGATTTGAACACTGCTCAGAGAGACTGTTCCCCCTTACTGGCCTCCCTTTGCCTTTCCAAGTCACCAGACTGGGAAAAACCTGCAGCCTCTTGGGTACCCACCACATGCCTGGCACTGCGTGGGCACATCACCTACTCAACCACTTTCTCCCCACCCCCCGCTTATAAACATAATTTCTGCATATTTCCGGTAAAGCAGGGAAATGAACACCTGAATTCAGTTCTTCTCTTACCTAAATTTCATTAAAATAACAAACTGAATATAACAAACTCCCCTCCACAAAAAAAAAGTGAGTAAAAAAAAGGAAAGTGAAATTGAAAAACCAAGAAAGGAGTGAAAAGGCAAACAGGTGATGTCTTCAAAGTTATAAGAACTGGAAAATGGCTGGGTCAATGGCTGCTGACATGTAACAGTGAAAGATGGAATCCAGTTACTGGATCTGAAGAAATCCAATGAGTAGAAAACAACCTAAAGCCCTGGGATAAACTGAGAACAATAGCAACAACAAAATCAAAGCAGGCAATGTGAGGTAGCAATGGCAAAAGCTTAATTAAATATTACTGCAATAAGCATGAAAATTCTCAATATCTGAGCAGCCCACGCAGCATTCTGATAGTTCACGTGACTCCAGAGGGTGAGCTGATCTCATTAACCCTAATCCTAGGCCAGCTTGGAGGGTCATTGAAGCTGTTTTGGACCTGATATATATATTTTTTTTTTTTTGAGAGGTTTTTGCTATAGGGCGTGTGCGCTCACCAGACAGACAGAGAGAGACAGAGAGACAGAAAGCAGGAAATCACCCCCCCCCGGGGGGGGGGATGGCTAACCCACAATCCCTTCTCTTCTATTCTCCTCTCGGGATCTTGGACATGCACGCACACGTGCCCGGCGTGAGTTTAAGCCACCGGGTCCGGGACTCGAACCGCGGTCGCCTACGTGGGAGTCCAGCGACATAGCCATTACGCTAACTGCTGGTCCCAGACCTGATATTTTTTACATCATTAATGCTTCATCAAGGATGGCTAGACCTTTTATATAGCCCATAAAAAAACTAAGTGCTTCTTAAAGCAAGGAAAGAGGATGATTCAAAACTAGTGTTTTATTAAGATACTTACAAGGAAAGAACACAGGTCATGTGAAGAGTCTTCAAAATATTCATAGAAAATGTATATTATAAAAAAAAAAAAAATTGCAGGACCAGTAGTTGGTGTAATGGCTATGTTGCTGGACTCCCATGTAGTCAACCGCAATTCAAGTATCAGATCCAGTGGCTTAAACTAATGCTGGGCATGTGTGCGTGCATGCCCAAGACCCAGAGAGGAGAATGGAGGAGAAAGGATTGCAGTGTGGCATCCCCCTGGGGGGTGATGTCTCGCTTTCTTTTTCTCGGTCTCTGTCTGTCTGGCAAGCACACGCGCCCTATAGCAAAAATCTCTCCAAAAAAAAAAAAGAAAAAGAAAAAGAAATTTGCGTGGAGTTCAAATTTCTTTGTACCAAAATAAATTCATATTTTAATTCCATTTTCCATGAATTTTCTGAAGTACTCTCAAACAGCAAAATAATTCCTGTTCAAAGACTTTGTTAACAAGTGGTTAAATCCTTCACAGGGCATGCAAAGACTATATTGTGTGCGATTACCTTCTCAATGATCTCATAACATTCTTCCAACCGCTGAGTTCTGTCTTTCAATATGGTGCTGGCTTCCTGATAGACTTTCAGCCACTCCTCATATTCATTTTCAGAGAGGTCAGCATAGGCCACACAGAGAGTCCGCAAGCCTGCAAAACAGTCACAGGTGAGAGGGGCCAGGCTGAATATTTTCTCTCTTAGGAGACATTTTATTTATTGTTTTTTTTGGAGAGGTTTTCGCTATAGGGCGCATGCGCTCGCCAGTCAGACAGAGAGAGACATAGAGACAGAAAGCGAGAAATCACCCCCCCAGAGGGGATGGTCACGCCGCAAGCCCTTCTCCTCCATTCTCCTCTCGGGATCTTGGGCATGCAAGCACACGCGCCCGGCTGAGTTTTAAGCCACCGGGTCCGGGACGCAAACCGCAGTCGACTACATGGGAGTCCAGCGACATAGCCAGTACGCTAACTGCTGGTTCCCTTATTTATTGTTTTTAAGGTTTTTGCCATAGGGTGTGTGCACTCTTCTAAGAGAGACAGAGATGAAGGAAAGTGAGAAATTATCCCTCAAGGAGGATGGCCACACCACAATCCCCTCTTCTCCAGTCTCCTCTCGGGATTTGGGGTATGCACACACATGTACCCAGCGAGATTTTCAAGCCTTCAGGTTCAGAATGCAAACTGTAGTCAACCATGTGAGAGTCTAGTGCCTCAACCACTCTACTACCTGCTCGCCCCATGTGGTCCCTATTATAGCAGCAACATGCTCAAAAATTTAAGGAAACTGTCTGCTTTTTAGGTCACTCTCATTAAACACTTACATACAAAGAAGAATTTAAAAAACAACTCTGTGTTTATAGTCTAATATATACCACCTCTTCTATAAATTTGAGAGTATACGAGCTGTCATAAGAGTGATTCTCCACCAGAGAGAAGGACAAGAGCGGGGCACGCCCATATGCATGTGTGACTAGGTAGGTATCTGCAAGGAGAGGGGGCAGAAAATGTGTTTCAAGACATCAACGACGTCCAATGTGCTGTCACATTAAAGGGCTAGGCTTTCAAGCAACTGCACTCACATGTGTGCGTGTGTACTCACTTGTGAATGTGTGTGTGCCCATGGGACCAGACTGCGGCAAGAAAGCAGCAATCAGCACCTAAACACAGGTCCAGGTAACACCGCATTCACTCGCAGGAAAACCTGACATCTGTGTTGGTTAAGGCCTCCCAGAACACTCCTTTCCTGCCATGGGTTCACTGAATTATTATTTCCTTCAGTCATGGATAAGCCAGTGTCATAACAATAACAAGAGAGGGGCAGGGAAATAACCACATGCATTTTCCAAGACAGAGACTAGCAACCACACGATGATTCTACACAACCTGTTAGCCTGCCTTCTTCCCCTGCACTGCTGATTATGCGTTAACTAGAAGAACACGGTCTGTGAGGGCAGCCAAGCACTGCAGCAAAGGACACGTCTGTTCAGAACATGACTGCTTCCCTAAGTATGAGCCATACACACTTGGAGGTATTCATTCAACTTGGACGGTCAAAAATAACATTTCCAAATTTCGCTTACCTTCCGTGGCAAAATATTCCAGATGGCATAATGTTTCCTCCATATATTTTGAGTCTTTTGAAAGTCTCTCAAAAATTACATTATCCTATAAAATAAGGAAACATTGTGACTGGCAAACCCTTAAGTAAACCTTCCAGTCAGCATGCTCGGCATGGCTTTGTTTTATTGGTGTTTATCTAACGTGCACAAGAATGCTTCATGGGCAAGTAGGAATATAGTTCTTGGCTGGGTTCAGGCAAGAGCTTTGGAAAGCACATTGGGTATGGATGGGTCCAACAAAGCCAAAATCTGTTATGTACCTTGAACGTCACAAGAAAACATGTTGAGGAGGGCCACAAGAGCCAGGAGAATAATCAGTGACACAACGGTGCCTACATTCGCCCAACTGTGAGAAACTCGTATCTCAAAATTTATAATACCTTTGTGCAGAAGGGAAAAGGGTGAAATGCACTTCCTCAATGACTCAGCTACAACCTTGCTTCCTAATGCTGGGGGACACTCTTACTCAGGGAAGGCACGACCCACAAGCTACTGAACGTGGGTCTGCTGACCGATACACAGGCGGCCACAGCTGATCACTCTGAGGCTATTTCTATGACTGACAGCAGGATGGTGGGCTGCCATAGATAATCCATTAAATATGTTATAAATTGCATAGTTTTATAAAACTAAAAAAAATTTTTAAAGAAATATGTCTTGTTTGGGGGGAACAGATTTAGAGAGAATTACACTCTATAAAAAGAAAATCTACCCTGGCACCATTGTCCTATGAACATTTTCCTATAGTTATAGCCCTCCCGTCTTCACCTCCTCACAGTCCCCTTCTGCATTTGCTGTGCTACTTAGAACACAATAGAAAAGAAGCAAATAAAAAGATTTTTTTTTAAACATACCATGTGTGAGGAAAATCTAGATGACTTTAATTTGTTGTTACCATAAACACAAAATTCCTTACTGGGTCCAGATACAAGCCTTCTAGAATTCCCAAGCATTATTCATTTTTAAAAAGGGCTCAGCCTGATGTACCAAAAAACAAAACAAAAAAAAAACACCCAAAAAAACTAAAACACAAACAAAACCAGCTTTCTTCTCACAACTGATAAAGAGTAGTAAGATTTTAAACTAATGATTGGTCCCAGAACAGCTTCCTATTCTTGACAAAGTCTGAGAAAACCATCTTAGTTCCTTCCCTCAATACGTAAGAGCATGGTTTAACAGGATAGTTGCACAAGTAGGATGAGCAAGCAATACTGTATTTCCTCAGACAAATACATTTGGATTTGGTTACTGGGAGGAAGCAAGGACGAACACCTGACCTAGGAAAATGACTAAAAAGGTGGTGAGAATGTGGCCACACGTGGAGACAATCCTTGTCCCTTTAACACAGCTCTCTGCGGTGAATTAAAGAATATCCGCAAGGAGTGGGAAGAAGAGCTGCCAGAGGGCCAATGTGTATCCCCGTACTTAGAGATGGTTCTCAAGCGTTGGCACAAGTCACCTGATCTGCCCACAGTCACTATGTGATAGTGCCAAACCTGGACTCAGAATTCGTACTCCCTGATGTACCAAAAAACAAAACAAAAAAAAACACCCAAAAAAACTAAAACACAAACAAAACCAGCTTTCTTCTCACAACTGATAAAGAGTAGTAAGATTTTAAACTAATGATTGGTCCCAGAACAGCTTCCTATTCTTGACAAAGTCTGAGAAAACCATCTTAGTTCCTTCCCTCAATACGTAAGAGCATGGTTTAACAGGATAGTTGCACAAGTAGGATGAGCAAGCAATACTGTATTTCCTCAGACAAATACATTTGGATTTGGTTACTGGGAGGAAGCAAGGACGAACACCTGACCTAGGAAAATGACTAAAAAGGTGGTGAGAATGTGGCCACACGTGGAGACAATCCTTGTCCCTTTAACACAGCTCTCTGCGGTGAATTAAAGAATATCCGCAAGGAGTGGGAAGAAGAGCTGCCAGAGGGCCAATGTGTATCCCCGTACTTAGAGATGGTTCTCAAGCGTTGGCACAAGTCACCTGATCTGCCCACAGTCACTATGTGATAGTGCCAAACCTGGACTCAGAATTCGTACTCCCAGGATTGTATACCACACACTGAGCTGCTGCTGCTGAGAACAAATGCTGGCTAAATGCAAGCTTTTTGCTGACCATTTCGCCACACTGCCTTGAACCGCCATGATCTTACGTGGGCTTTTACTACTTAGTCCAGTTTTCAACCACTTGGAAGAGACTTTCGACCTTGGGCAAATAATCAGGGACTAATCAGGGCGGGTCATTATTAGGGAAAGCAGCAGATCAATAAGCAGCTGGGGAGCTCTCTCTGTCAGGGGAGGCACTCCGGATACTTACAGCCCCTTTGCAGTACAGTCGCAGTTGTCCTGAAGGAGTTCGAACAATTACAGACATTCTTTTTCTGTCGCTGTGTGAGTTTAAAAAATAAAAATGAAAATTCATCCTTGGTCTGTTTTATCGAACCCCAGTCCCACAACCAAACAAGTGAAAAACAAAACGGCCAAGCTCCATGTGTCCCTACCTTTTCCCTCAAATAAAACTTTAATTATATATCCCCTACTCTTCTCGTTTATATCTAATAGACAGAAGACTGCTTTTCCATTATGAAAATTCACTAGCACAGCTATTTGCTGTCAGAGAGAGAGCAAAGGAGAACTTGAGCACCGGCTCTGTTATGTCTCACAGACTTCTCACAATACTCTCTAAAACCTTCTTCTCTCCTTTACAGCTCAAAATACCAAATAACCTGCCCACTAAGGAGCAAGGTGGGAGATTAAGTATAGATCCACTTAACTTAAACACTCCCCACTGTATCTTCTTTTCATTGCAGTAGAAAGAAATGACAAATCCATGCAATTCCCAAGTCAGCATGGAAGTGCTCTGTATCTCCCTTCTCTCTGTGGCATACACACTTCCGTCCACATCTCTCCTCACGGAGCCTTCCATGACTCCCCCCGGCCTAAACGTTCCTTTTCAACCTGCTCTCTACTCACCTCTGCAGCCTCTCTGTATCTTCCGCTAACCCTCTCCTGCACGACCAGGCTTCAGGCAAAGGAGGCACCATTCTCCTTTCCCACACAGACTGACCCATGTCTTTGCTGACAACATTTCATCCTCCTGAACACACCCCAACTATGGTGGGCCTTAGACCATTCATCTCTGTGGCCTTTTACTTTGGTGAGTCCACCTGGATTATCAACTCCTGAGAGCGGGGATATGACTTTCTCAGCTCTCTATAAATTCCTACATCCTCACCCCAGTGCTCTATCTGAACTCGATTTGCATTCTCTCTCAACTCCCTGGTAGATGGGTATTCTCAGCAAAGTCATCTAACCTGTTTCAATTTCTCAGTGTGTAAAGGAGGGTTCCCACCACCTATATCAAAGGATTATGTCAGGATTAAGTGTCGCCAGGAAAAAGATGAGTCTACTGACAAACTGAACTCAAGTGTAACCACAAATGATCTTTCTGTTCCCTCTTATTCTTCCATAATTTTGTTAATACATTCTCATGTCTCCATCGTATTCACCTGTTTTCACCCAAGTCCCTTGTGTCCAACTCATCTGTCCATTAACTGCTGGTCTCAGTTCATTCAGCCACAAAGCAGCACGTTTCCAACACAAGATGAGTACGAGAAAATCTGGAGGGGTGTCTAGTATTTTCTCATCTCCAAACACGGGAACACTGTCACCGCCACCTACATGAACCGCTGCGATCCCAAACCACCTGTCTGTTTCTCTCACTGAATAGCCCCAAGGATTCCTGACCAAAAAAAATTTGAGCTTGCAATCTAAAAACTAAACACTAAGGCTGAAAAGTATTTCCTAAAAATGGGAAAAGAAACAAAGAAAACCAAAAAAGGGACCTTATCAAACAGTTTATAATGCAGACCAACAATCTGTGAGTTATTTAACAAAAGTCATTGAAAAACCGACCTAATTTTAATAAGAGGGAAAGATGCTTTTGAGATAGGAACAAAACCTTGCTTTAATATTAGCAGTTCAACATAAAATGAGGGAAAGAAACAAAATATTACAGTATAGTCCCATATAACAAATTATGAATGTTCTAGGGAAAATCAGACTGCAACTAATATTCCTGAGTCTTAAGTTAAAGAAAGTGCACCAGGGAAGAATACTTCCAAATACGGACAGGAGGGCTGCCCTATGCGGACCCAGCCTCTAATGGGATGAACTGATCTAATCTATCATCATCTGTCAGTTTCTCAGATGTCCAGAGCAGTGCTCAGATGGAGCAACAGGCATGACCTCATGGGACTTGGGAAACGCCAATGAAAACAATGCCCTCATCGCATACTCCAAACTATTCAGACAAGTCTACAGCTGTTGATGCAAGAACACTCGGCTCCAGAAACCTGAAGGAAAAGGAGGCCATGGAAGTATAACATTTCTTTTGAAAAAAAAAAAGAAAAATAACCTACTTCATTTTTTTTAATGGACGTCATGAATTCCAAGAGGAGAGTTTTGGAGCTATATGTACCATACAGTCAATACTTAAGTACTGTATTTAATCATACCATGCAGTCATGCAAATACTCTGGATGAAGTTGTTAAAAGTGTGTGTGTGTGTGTGTGTGTGTGTGTGTGTGTGTGTGCATGTATGTATGTATATATTTTATTTCAACTGTGTGAAAAAGAAACATACCTAGAAAACTCCAGAACATTAAGGATTCCAAATGTCTGTTCTTGACCCATCTAAAGGAAGAAAAACAGGCTTTACTGAGGTGCAAAGTATTAAAATCTCCAAGCGATTGTCTCCCTATCAGAAACTCTCACTCTCACTCCCATTCTCTTTCTCTCTTCCTACCACCTAGCCCCTTGCAAATGCCTTTTCAACGTGTACTGTTTGCCTCATGAGTCTGGTGGGGTCATAGCTCCCCCTTCTGGCAGAAGCATCTCACTTTTCTTCAGATCTAGGGACGTCCTCACAGTTGTCTGGTACAGCCTCTTACAAGCGAAGAAGAAAAAGGACCACATACCTTAGGAACAGCTAAGCTTCTGAATTCAGGATTTCACAGATTTTATAAAGTCATATGTTTATGCCATGTGCCATAAGGTCCTCATTAGGATCTAGGAGAACACCTTGTGATGCCTCAATTTTCTTCAGCGAAATATATGAATATTACACTGTGAATTTCAGAAAGACCAGAAACACCCTCATGTTGGTCCTGACGAGGTTTTGCTGCTTTTTCTTTCTCTCTTTTTTAAAGAATTATTTTATTTAACTTTATTTATTTATTTATTTGGACCAGAGAGGGACAAAGTGTGTGTGTGAGAGAGAGAGAGAGAAAGTGAGAAAGCAAGCTGCCAGGTCTGAGATTTGGAGCACGGTCAGCCATGTGGGAGTCCAACACTCTTAACTACAACGCCACCTGCCGGCCCTTGCTGCTTTTTCTTAAGCTGGAATTCAAACTGTGTGGTTGGTGATGCGGGATCTAGTCACCTTAACGACTACACCACCAGCTGAACTGATAAAGGAGATCCTAAGTTCCAATACCTTCCTCTTAGGGTCACAGAGGCAGAAGCCCCACGGATTATGAGGGCTTCACTGTGCAGGATCCATGCACTGAGGTCACAACGAGATGGAGAACCTGTCCTCCCAGACAAGTGCACCCTGAAGGTATTTTCCCAACTATTTATTATAGAAAGAAGAGTAGATTTGTACAGTTTTCTGCTATGAATAATTTCACATCAGTGTAGGCAACTTGTGGGGAAGCCTCTTTAAGAATGATAAATTATCTCACTGCAAAACAACATGAATAAACTAATATAATGGACCTTTGAAAAGTTCATGGAAAATGTGTATTTTTTAAAAAAAAAAGTATATATGGATTTGAAAACTTGTTTTGCACCAAAATAAATTCATACTTCAATTCCATTTTTTTTTCCCACAAACTTGTACCCTTATCACATAACCCCTTTGGTTTTCAACAGGTCTATTTTTTCACCAGAAGGAAAACATAAATTCAGCTATGGTATTGATAGCAGACGTGCTGTTTCAAATATACAATCTTCAAAAAAGCAGGTGATACGAAATACGCACGAGGGTGTGACTTACTGCTTCTATGATGACAGAGTATGGCGTTCTGGCTGTGAAGACAAAGCCCAGCTTTTTGGCTCCTTTTACCAAAGCCGCTTCATCTGTCAACAAAGAGTCAGTTAAATATTGACAAATCACTTGTAATGAGAAGACTTTTGCTTAGTATCATTTTCAAATTAATAGAACCTACTCCAGCAAAGAGGCCTGGAATGATCTGCCCAGCATTAAGAATGCAGAGTAGAGGAGCTTGCACTCTACAAGCAGGGTCCTGAAAGGGGCACTCGGTGCGATGAGAGGTTAAAGACCTAAAGCAAACTCAAGTGATGTACATCCCTACTACTCTCAGTTGGGATCAAGTTCTCCTTGATGAATCTAAGTAATATTTCCATGACTTTCTGACAAAACATCTCCTCTGAGTGAGGCCACATTTCCACTGAGGGATGAACAAAGTACCAGGAAGAAGGGAAGCACTTACTGCTCCTGCTCAGATACATAGCCGCCCAAGCAGCTGGACAGCCCAGGTGGCAGGAGGATGAGCCAAGAGGCCAGCACCATTCTCTCTAGAATTTCTGCTGGGAGATGCAACATGGCGTGGAACCTACCCCTGTGCCCCTATCAGAAGAGCCCTGTACCGGGTCTCTGAGCTTAACACCTGTAGCCATAACTTGGAAACAGTGTGAGACCAGAGGCAAATGGTAGAGGGTTGGTGGGACAGGCTGCTCCATCCCTCACATCTCCCACGAACGTAATTGCAAACACTCAAGTCTCCAAGGCAGAAGCCAGTAGGGCACACAGGCCAGATGCCTCACCTGGCGAGGAGGCCTGGTAGATGATGTTGTCTCCATCCCTCTCAGGAACCACAGTGTGACACACGGCCAGGAGGGTGAGGAACTCCTGAATGCAAGGAGCTGTGGGCTACAAATGGGAGACCCAGTTAGTCAGCAGTTATGATACTGCTGACATAGCCCAGGGCTCGATTCAAGTCATCCTGGCTCAAAATCCAGTAGTGCTCTGCTCCCTTAGGATAGGGTCGAGGTCCTCAGCATGCGTTCCAGATCCCCTGTGACTCAGCACCTGCTCACCATCTAACCCACCTCCAGCTATTCTCCTTTTTCCATTGTGAGAAAACATCAGCCCCCCACCAGCTGCTCTAGTTTGATGTCGTTTAATTCTTTCTCAGTCTCTTTGCCCCATCTACCCACCTTTAGCTAGTCCCAGCAGCTCACTCATCCCCAGGGATTCAGGGATTCAGCTCAATAGACACTTCATCTGAGAAGTTTATTATCCCCACCCATGCCTGAGAAACTGAGCCCTGTGAGTGAACCCATGCTGGCAGGAAAAACATGGAGCTGCAGCCCCACCTGGAACTCCCACAGCTCCTAGCATCATTCGTATCTAACAGGCCCCACACCCCTCCCTGCTTCTTCTCCAGAAAGACAAGTGGGTTGTTGCCTTCCTTGCTGATGTCTCTGAACTCAGCAAATAGAAGCCTCTCTAATCCACATGAAATCACCAAAACATGTGTGTCCTGGGCTGCACTGGCATTTGTTCTAAACCATGTCTATTCTTTTTTTTTTTTTTTTTTTTTGGAGGGGTTTTTTGCTATAGGGTACGTGCGCTCACTCGACAGACAGAGAGAGACAGAGAGACAGAAAGCGAGAAATCACTCCCCAGGGGGATGGTCACGCCGCAATACCTTCTCCTCTCGGGATCTTGGGCATGCACACACACACGCCCGGCATGAATTTAAGCCACTGGGTCTGGGACGCGAACCATGGTCGACTACGTGGGAGTCCAGCGACATAGTCATTACGCTAACTGCTGGTCCCACCATGTCTATTCTTTACAATCCCTTAGCACCTGTAAGGCATCACATCTTTGCTCATTACTATTTTTAAAATTATTACTATTTTATGTTTTTTTAATTTACATTTAATAGCTATACATCTTTACAGGATACAAAATGTGTTTTTCTAGCATGAATGCAGTACATATCACTCAAGTCAAAGATATTGCCATGTACATTATCATCAACAGATAACTTTTCATTCATGTGTCTACTAAATGTTTTTCCCCATCCCCTCTCTCCCACCTCCTGTTACCCACCCCCTTCTATACTGTCTGTGGTATCTACAGTTGCCAGGAACTTCCTGCTTTTTTACCATCCTGTCTTTCATTTTCTGTCACAGAAGGCAGTCAGTATATATCAAGCAGGGACATACAATGTTTCTCTTCCCTCATCCGGTTTGCTTCACTTCACATTAAAGCTTCCATATTCATCCACTTTGTATCTATCAACTGTCAGTTTCTCATTACTTGTCAAGGATGAGTTGTATACCATAGTGTATATATGCCTTTTTTTTTCCCGCTAATGTCTTAGCAATTGTGAAAAATGCTGCAATAAACACGGGTAGGCAAGTGTTTTCCTGACTGGCTCTTTTCCTATCTTTTGGGTAAATATCCACAAGTGAGATGACTACTGGATCGTATGGTAGTTATATTGGTAGGTTGGGTTTGTGTGTGTGTGTGTGTGTGTGGAGAGGTTTTTGCTATAGGGTGCATGTGCTTGCCGGAAAGACAGAGAGAGAGACAGAGAGACAGAAAGTGAGAAATCACCCCTTCGGGGAGATGGTCACTTCTCCCCCATTCTCCTCTTGGGATCTTGGGCATGCACGCACACATGCCCGGCATGAGTTGAAGCCACCGGGTCTGGGACTCAAACCGTAGTCAGCTATATGGGAGTCCAGTGACATAGCCATTATGCCAACTGCTGGTCCTTATTTGTAGGTTTTTGAGGAACCTCTAAATTTCTCTCCACAGTGGCTGTGCTAATTTACATTCCCACCCACAGTCATAAAAGGCCCTGTATTGCCAAAGTCATACTATGGAAAAGAATAAAGGAGGAGGTATTTCACTTCCTGACCTTAAAATAATTTTACATAGAAAAATACGCTAACTGCTGGTCCCTAGCCAACTGATTTTTGACAAAAGGCACAAGATAATTCAGTGGGGAGAAGGACACTTCTTCAGCTAATGGTGCTGAAAACACTGGATCTCCGCCTGCAGAAAATGAAACAGGAGGGACCAGCAGTTAGCATAATGGCTATGTCGCTGGACTCCCATGTAGTTGAACGTGGTTCGAGTCCCGGACCCGGTGGCTTAAACTCACGCCAGGCGCAGGTGCGTGCGTGCCCAAGATCCCAAGAGGAGAACAGAGGAGAAGGGATTGTGACGTGGCCATCCCCCACCCCCCGGAGGGGGGTGATTTCTCGCTTTCTGTCTCTCTGTCTCTCTCTGTCTTTCTGGCGAGTGCACATGCCCTATAACAAAAACCTCTCTAAAAAAAAAAGAAAAGGGAACCAGCAGTTAGTGTAATGGCTATGTCGCTGGACTCCCACGTAGTCCACTGCAGTTCGCGTCCCATACCCGGTGGCTTAAAACTCACGCCGGGCGCATGTGCGTGCGTGCCCAGGATCCTGAGAGGAGAATGGAGGAGAAGGGATTGCATCGTGGCCATCCCCCCTGGGGGGTAATTTCTCGCTTTCTGTCTCTATGTCTCTGTCTGTCTGGCGAGCGCACGCACCCTATAGCTAAAATCTCTCCCCCCAAAAAAGAAAAAAAGAAACAGGACTGCTCTCTCACCATTAACAAAAATCAACTCACTATGTATCAAAGATCTAAATGGAAAACCTCAAATTATAAAATATTTTAGTTTCCCCTGGTGAAAAACATAGGGGAAACTCTAGAAGACACTAGAGTAGGCAAAGATTTCTAAATAAGACCCCTGAAGCCTAGACAATCATCTCTAAAATAGACAAGTTGGACATCAGGCTAAAAAGCTTCTGCAAAGCAAAATAAACCATAATTAGAGGAAAGACACAACCCTCAGAGTGGTACAATATATTCGCAAACTATGCCTCAGGTACAGGACTGATAACCAAAATATACAGGGAACTCAAGCAGCTTACTCACCTCTCCCCGCTCCCCCCCCCCCAATCAACTCAATCAAAAGATGGGCAAATGAGCTGAACGGGCTCATTTTATCTATTGCTTTTTATATTATTAATGACATCTTATTTCCATTCTATTTTATAGTAGTTTATTGCTGGGGTGTATGTAAAAGCATGGATTTTTGTAAATTAACTAAATATTTTATTGTAACTAAGTTCTAGCTCTCTAAATTTCGGTTGACTCTCCTGAATTTTCAAGATGGACAGTTATATTATGTACATATGATACGTTTGCCTTTTTTTTTTTTCCAGTATATACGCTTGTTCAGTTCTCACCTGTCTACATGGGCTAGTACTTGAATTATGTTCAAAGACGGGGTGATAATAAGCTTCCTTGTCCTGAGGTTATTTTAATGCTAGTAATTTTAATGTGTCCCTTTTAAATAGGCAACTGGCTGAAAATTTTAGGTAGATTTATATTTTCACATGAAAGAAGCAGCTTTGTGCTTGCTATTTTGTGTGGAATTTTTCTTAAGTCATAAATAAATGATGACTTCCACAGAAATATTTTTAGTTTCTTTTCTGACCTTTTAATGTGACTTAAAAGCAATTTTATAGAAGCAAATCACAACTGTTCACATGGCTACTTCTTATCAGCCCACATAAAAAGAAAATGCACATTAAGTTACAGCTTAGTGAAGTCAAATAAGTTATAGTGGAGAATTTATAAATTCCCCAAGGCCTACACTGCAAAAATGGTAAAAATGCCTTTATACAAAACACTTTAATTTTAAAATTGGGCTTTAGTTCAAGTTTGTCTTCCCCTATACTTGAGAACTACTCAAACCTGCATATAAATCTGTCCCATGAAAACAACACGAATGGGGTCTTTGACTTTAGAGCAAATAAATAAACCTAATAGAGAAAATTTTCTGAAAGCAACAAAGAAGAGCTGTACACACACTCATATTGAATTTCTACCTTGAGTGGTAGTCCAGACAAAATTCAAAAAAAAAAAAAATTCCTAAAACAAAAGTAATCTATCTTTGGTTTTCCTACCTAACCTGACATTCTATAATAAATGGGGGGGGGGGGGGATGTTGCTGGCCTGCCAC